CTGATCTCGCGCCATCGGATTACCACTTATTTCGATCCCTGGACAACTCCCTTCGTGGTAAAACTTTTAATGACGACGACGCTGTAAAATCTCACTTAACTCAGTTTTTGGCCGAAAAGGATCAGACTTTCTACGAGCGTGGAATTTTCAAGTTGTCAGAGAGATGGCGAAAGGTGGTCGAACAAAATGGAAAATACATTATAGATTAAACTTCGTTCCAAGTAAAAAAGAATTTTCTATTTCATTCAACAAATCGGCAATTACTTCGTTGTCAACCCAATACAATGTTCTCTTCACATTTTTCGCGTTGAATGAATCGATAATGTACGGATAAACTGCTTTTTTTAGCGCTTTCGCTCTGTTCTTTACTGTTATTGACAATCCAAGATGTACAGGTTGTAAAAAGAGGTTATATCATGTCTGTGTGTGTGTGTCATAGACGTATTCTACATCTTTCAATGGTTGAAGATCTGTTAAAAAAATTTTCCGCAAAAGTGGTACCTTGACCACATTTTTCACAGTCAAATATTTCTATGATTGCATCATTAATATCGAAAGCTATTTTATTTCATTCGAATTTCGATAAGTGCTCGAAGTATAGACCATCTTCTTGTAAGCATAATTCGAGTCGTGCTAGCATATTACGATTAGTTGGAAATATCAACATAACCTATCCATAAGATTATTTAACCGACAGAAGTTTTCGAATAAAAGTGCAATCAACCGTTACTATTGTTACAAGACGAATTTATAATAAACAATCTCTGCTGATCGAACCTAAATTACCGAAGTAAAGGTCATTGAAATCAGTTCTTTTTTCATCAGCAGTAACCTTACACAAACAAAAATACAAGATGTTATTTAAAACAGTCAAAGTAACCCTGACTTTGAGTAGAAAAACAATAGTTTTTGAAATTTGGTATTTTTCACATCCATTCCAATCTTCCAAAGTATTAGATTTGAGTTAAATTTAACTCAATTAAATGAAATCGAGTTAAATTAAATATTGTCACATCTTTACGTTGCATCGTTTTCCGTTGATAACATTAAAAAAATGTTAACAAAAATCCTTCACGTTAAAAAGATAAAAACCACAAAATATCTGAGGTCATTTTTCCTAAACATTACAGAATAATATACTCTGAAGCTTGAAAATAGGTGTTTCCACTTTCGAGAAACCTTTCGATATTTAACGAAATAGTTGCCGCTGCCGAGCGGTAATAATTTTGATCAGCAAAAATCGAACGGAACACGAACAACTCTGTAAAAACTCCGGTCGAATGGAGCCTCGCACTCTGTCCATTAACGTAAATGGAGGAGCGACGAGTGTACTCTTTGCGCGCGGCACGGTAAACGAACGTTTGTGGATCGAGAGGGAAGTAGCGAAGTCGTAATGAATCGTCTCATGTCGGATCTGTTCATGTACGTCCTATTTGTCAATAAAGAACCCTAAATTACCTGGCCTCGGGCAGCAGCAGCCTCGAGTAATTTCCTTCTAGCTCGCACGGCAGTATGACCTTGCTGTGGGGTTGCACCTCGAGCTCTAAGGGTGGCTTTGACGGCGTGGCAGCTGTATCTAAGGAGACTGGAACATTGGTTGTAGCGGAGGAGCTGGTAGACCATAAGTCCTCTTCGGGGGCTAAAAGGGCCGCGGGCTGCGCCACGTCGTCGGACAGAGAAATCAACGTCGAGCTGGACGGTGTTGTGCTCGTGGTGCTTGTCGTGGTTCTTCTAGCACGTCGGCCACCCTCCTGTCTGCCACGAAGGGTGAACACGCCGGCCTCGTTCACCGATCCTGCAACAAAACGAGACGTTTATCACTTCTTGGGCTTCCATTCACCATCGGCCGTTCAATTGAGACCTTACTCGACTTTGTAGTGCGCGCCCGCTAATAGACACTTCACCGCGGCGAGTAGTACGTGTGCTCTTAACGAATCGAAACGTAATTAACCCCTCGCCGTCAAATTTTCTTCGATCAGGCAACGTTCTTTATTCGAATGACGGATAAGAGACGAAGACTATCTATCGAATCAAATTTGATTTGACGCTATAATATGTACGATATTATATTATATATATATTCGATATATTATATTATATTATATTATATTATATTATATTATATTATATTATATTATATTATATTATATTATATTATATATATATATATATATATATATATATATATATATATAAATTTTCATTATTATTAAGTCACGCACGGATAAATTATTATCCAGATAAATTTTCATTATTCGACGCTATAAAATAATGAAAATTTATCTGGATAATAATTTATCCGAATGAGATTTCAGTCGAATAAGAATTTATCCGTGCGTGACTTCATATGGGAAGTGATCGATTTAAATATGAAAGGTGCGGTATAATGTAAGGTTATGAAAATGTTGAGTTTGCCCAAAATTTCGCAATTTACCGATTGTGATTAGAGATTTTTATTACAACACATTAATACCTTGATTAATTATATTATGTACAATTATAGGTATATTCTTTATGTGTAAATTTATAAATTTTCTCTTCGTTGACTACGCTCAATTTATTATCTTATTAAAAATGTAGACCTAGTAACATGCGTTTTCACAAACATCGACGGCCCAGTAATGAAAACTGCTCTCTACGAAAACTGCAGGTATCGCATTACAATTTCCCGCAAGCGGCGTCGCTTCTCGACCAAATGGTATTTCCAACGCTTCGTCGATTTTCCCGAAAACTGTCTATCAGGTTCGGTCGACCGAGGCTGCACTAGGAAAACTAATTATGACTTCGATGGACCGCAAATGGCTATAACTACCTAGCGAAACTACGGCACCTTGTCGACCCGTACTCTGCCCATCCTCTTATCGCGATCTCTATGAACCGAACACAAGAAGATAATGTTTACTGTTCAACAAATGAAGCCGGTACAGAAACTCCGCCGAACGAAGCCGTTTTGCTTCGAAGATCTCTACCCCCTACTCACGACAAATAATTAAACCCTTAGAAACACAGGCACGACAAAATAGTTCGTTGAACTAGTTCCAGCTTGACAGAACTGTGAGTCGAGGAAACGCTACGAATAATTAATAACAAATTCACGATCGTGTAACAGAGGATACGTTATCGATGTGCACATTGCGGTTCTTTATACCCAAAGAGATTCAGTAATTATTTAATTATTTAATTATATATATATAATTAAAAAATTGTTGGTTCATTTAATCTTCGT